ACCCAGTAACGGGTAGCAAATTGTTGAAAATTGATTCGGGGTAGTTTCGCGAAAAAGCTTAGAGTTATCCTGTAGAAATTATTTTCTGTGGAAAGATTTGCTCTCTTCGTTTTCCATGTGAGTTTCTCGAACAAAAAGTTTAGAGAAAATGATATCATAAGTACAGACATTTTATTCATTTTTTAAAAAATTCATGTACCTTTTTTAATGTTTAATTGATTTTGTACCGTCTATTTATTATGTACCCACTTTCGTTTCGTTTCTATTATTTCTAACTTTAAAATCGTATATTATGATAGAGAGCACTTTTATCAAACTGTTTTTCCCAATTAAAGAGTAACGATGTCGTTGCAAGGCTGATTACGATAATTTAGATACTTTTATGAAATTTGTGATTTGTATCAACTGAAATGAAAAAATAGTATTGTCTGAATTTCGACAACAGAAGAACATTATATGGATCTTAAAAATAGATAACAATACGTCTTTTGCTTTTTTTAATCATCCCTACATATTTTGACCAATTGAGAAATATGTTGAGCTTCACTTGCAGTTAAATCCTCTTAACAGGCTTTAAGCATTCTTCCCACTGCTGAGTCAACTGTCAACTCCCCCTGTGTATTGGGTATTTTATACCATAATGATTATTTGACGTCAAATTCTCATAAGATACACGTTTTTCAAACAAGATCATGTTATAAAATGAACGTCTATCTGGAAAAAATGCTATACACGAATGTTTCAAATCTCTTTTGTTGTCATCTCACGTCAATTTTACGCATGTAAAGTGTTAATTCAACCATGGTAGCGTTAAAGCGAAAACACAAAATGAAGATGGCGATGTAATGATCATGATCGCTCAACGTACTTCTAACGTGACTCGCATTACTTGCATTACTTGCTGCCGTGTGGACAATCAAAACATTACACACAAAATCACGCCGTGGTCAGGAGAATATCAGATGTTTATAACAACACCGAAATGAAACAGTTTAAAGGAGTTTGGAAGGCGAGGCGCACTAAAACACCATCGGCAGTTGTGTCGCATTCGCTTAAATGCCTTGAAGGAATGCACTAGATTGATATACACGATACTCTACACGTAATACCCTACGGAAGACCTGACGCAGTCTGAGATAAGGCACTGACAGCCATACATGTTGATGAGGTTGGTTAGAAAGAGATATTCATCTCATATAATCTCACTCTCCTTATCTTTAATAAATTGAGCGCATGCCATCATTAAAAAGGAGAACGAAATTGATACTTAGTAGTGGGTGCATGGGTTTCACTTAACCTAATTGACGGGGATTGTACAACCAGCCTCATGAATACTTAAAAGAATTGTGATAGAGAATCGAAAGGAAGATGGGGGATTATATTTATTTAGAGAAACGTTTTTGGTCACGTACTGGTAAAATGTCGGTACTCCCATTCTCGTAAATGCATCGATGTATAGATGGAGGTGCCGTGGTTCATACACTTACTGACAATCTCAAGGGTTCGAATATCAGCCCAACAGTAAAGTCCTTTGGCAAGACATTAATCCTCATTATTTTGTCATTCTATTTTGTTAAATGGATACCAGGGCCCTGTCTTACAAAGAGTTACGATCGATCCAAATCAATCGTAAGTCCTCCAATCAATCGCAAGTTTGCAGTCTCCTATCTCTTATGTACATAGTTACGATTGATATCAATCGCAAATAAGTTACGATTGATATCAACTCTTTGTAAGACGGGGCCCTGGTAGGATGCGAAAGTTTTCTCAGTATGAGCATCTGTAAAATGGCGCCTGTTTGGAATGCTTCCCAGGGGGAGTGGGCAAGCTTGACTCTCATGGATGGGGTATCTTTAAAGTCAAGTGCTTTGAAATATCGTCGATGTAATAACGCAGAACCTGTATAAACCCATAGTATTATTATCGTTATTATTATTACTATCATTATTGTTATTATTATTATTATTAGTAGTAGGAGTAGTAGTAGTAGTAGTAGTAGTAGTAGTAGTAGTAGTAGGAGTAGTAGTAGTAGTAGTAGTAGTAGTAGTAGTAGTAGTAGTAGTAGTAGTAGCAGTAGTAGTAGTAGTAGTAGTAGTAGTAGTAGTAGTAGTAGTAGTAGGAGTAGTAGTAGTAGTAGTAGTAGTAGTAGTAGTAGTAGTAGGAGTAGTAGTAGTAGTAGTAGTAGTAGTAGTAGTAGTAGTAGTAGTAGTAGTAGTGGAAGTGGCAGTAGTATCATCATCATCGTTTAGGAAGGAGAAAGAGGAGGAGCGCAGTGATATGGATACAGACAGAGAGAGAGAGAGAGAGAGAGAGAGAGAGAGAGAGAGAGAGAGAGAGAGAGAGAGAAAGCGGCACACGCATAATATAGATACTATATTGTTATACTAAAGGGAGAAAAAAATGAGTCAATATTGCCTTTCCTCCAGCCTGTAGCTAGTATGATGTTTGAAGCCCGGTATATGATGTGTGACGAATAGATTGTGTGTCTGAATAATTGATTTGAATACCTATTCATTTTTCATTAAGTCTCGCCCCCGTATATTGATATTGCTCTTGATCTAACAGCTCTTCCAGTAAATATAATAATATTGCTCTCTCATCGTCATACGTGCTCTTAGTGATATGATACGACATTAGCATCACATTTTTCTCAATTCAATTACCTGTACATCAAAAGGTACTTTTTAAGATTTTTGACATGGACGATACTGTAATTGAATTGTATATCAATTTGAGTTTTATAAGCAAAGTAAAATTTCTTTTAAAATTACTTAGCGTTTAGTAGTTAAAGAAATTGTTAATTTCATTAAGGATGATGTAAATTGTGTTTGTACAGTGGAACGAATAACGCAAACGTGCGTATACAAAGCCCTGTATTTACTGCCATTGAAACGGATAATATTAATAATATAAACCATATTTGTCAAACTCTTAATGACTTCAAATGAAATTCGTGCAAATATCACTTCTGATATCATGGATATAATCTTGCTTGCAGTCATTATTTTCTCGAATATTTCTTACTGTGATAAAATACTTCAAGACGGAATAAAATACAATGTTGGTCTGCTGCTACCTTTTAAAGCGATACGGGAAAGGGAAGAGGCTTTGAAATACCGACTCATGGCGCAAATTTGCCCTCATAAAGACCAACTCCTACACATTCCAAAGGGAATAGCATGTTTATAAACGACTCTCTTGGGAGGGGGGGGGGGGGGGGGTCTGACATGACATACACTTCCTCTCATCTTGAACTCACTCTAGAAGGCAGACAGTTATCCATTCATATCTCAGTCGATACATAACTGCTCCACATTTAAACTCCGTAATGTGTATGATAATATTATATTGATGTGTAATGTAAGACAAGTGTGAGGAAATAGAAACTACCTTCGGTGAATCTCGCGTCAAAAAAAAAAACATCGCCAAAGGAAAGGAGAGAATAAGGACTACGTAGCCTTAAACGAAGTTCACAAACATTGCTGGACAATAGTCCATCACTAGACATGTCGGACGTTTATGTTTTTTTTTACAGATGAAAATAAAAATAAAGTAAAGATGCCCTGGAGAAGAAAAAGAAAAGAAAAAGATGAAAGAACAGAAAAGATAAGAATAAAATGGGGTCTTCACATCCGCTGTGATAAACGATCTTACAGATGTCACGCACTTTATCAAGTGTACTGAGTTGTTTTGTTGAAATGTTTTGTTATACAAAAACAAAATCATTATCAATTATATAGGGGGAAATACGATATCGAAGCCCTCCTACAACAATGTAAGATACATTTGATAGATTGTCTACACCTGTATATGAATAAGATATTAGTTTTCAAAGTGTACAGGCTTCTTACATATAAGAAGACCGCTCAGTCAAAACCATCAGGTAAGTTGTTCACTTCGGTAGAAAACATGCGAACTCTGAATGTATGATTAACCGGTAGGGTATTTAGAAAGTGACAAACAAATAAGGGGCATTATCTTAGCAGTCACATATATTTATTATAATTACGTGTTTATTACTATTACTATTTATTTTTTTAATTAGAACATGGATAAATCAGTTCTTATATTTTTGTATACTGAACGCCGGATCATGCAATATTTGTATAAATTTGGTCTCAAAGTCACCATAATTGCTTTTTGTTTTGTTTTGTGGGGGGTAGCAATTTTCTGTATCTTCTTTGACCTATAACTAAGCACCAGCTCCGTGTTAGTAGATGGAGCAGAGAGCAGTGGGCGTATTGGTCTGCAGTCAGTGAGCGATGCGTGCGATGGGAGAACTAGAGGTGTCGATAATGTTGACAATCCATGGAAGAGTAAATGTCACATTGTTCGTTATACTGTACCGAGTTCGGGGGCATGTTGGGTAAACACGTGATTAACTTGCTAGGCCAATCAGAGTTCATTCTTACAGGGCTTGATGGGTAGTTTAAGGGGTGAAAAATCAACTGTAGTGCAGAAAGGCGTTCTGTTTTTGCCTGACGTTGCATTATTTTTCCCAAACTCAATCCAGCAGCATTTTAACGTGTCTCCTATTAATTAAAAAAATGTTTTTGTGGGTAAAAGAAAAGGTGAATATTTTAAAAAGCAATTTGATTAGGTAGCGGGACGTGAAGGCGCCATTTTAAGTGAAACTAGTCAACTTTGGCCTTTTTGGATATAACGATAAAATGATTAATACCATGAACAAGCACATTTTTGCTGAGACTTTTTATTATTACAATAAACTTATTTGTTGTTCTTTGATCCATCTCAACTTTGCTTAATGTAGTTAGTATACGGTAAACATGTTTTAATTTCGCAGAAAGTATTGCTGTAACACATTCCACAGATAACAAAAACACTCGGCAAGACAATATTATCATAAAGTTTGTTCTCATTTGTCGTAATGGGTTGAACTGTATCCTGCTCTACTTAAGGCGTAAAGGGACAGGAAGGGAAACGTGACATGGTAAACTATGTAAGAGGAGTCATTTATCTGATCATTATTTCCATTTTTT